ATTTTAGTCATTAGTGTATTTATTTATTTGCAATTTCCCTTTTTACCCTCTTGTCTTTATGTAAGCCAAGGGAATGTGTCTTTTAATTTCTTTTGAGGCCTATATATAGAGGTCTCTTCTCCTATATATTGTATGATGGATTATTAATTAAAATTTTGTATGCACTTGGTTCTTTGGGAAAACTTAGTGAAATCCCTATGGGAGGGAGTCGGAGTTTCCAGCAGCCGTGATGGGTCCGGGCTCGTGGCGTGAAGTCTCGGAGAAGGGCAACTAGTTACAACAGTCAGCCGAGGTGTGTCGGTGCATTGCGGTGTATCTTTTATTAATTTCTTTTATTTGTTTTGTTCCTTCTATTACTCCTAGTTCGTAAAATAAAGTGATCTCGGTCGTCGATCTTCAGCTCCTCGGATAGGCATGGACGGTTGGATGTCCGCATCAGTTGTATTTTATGGAGCTTCCATTTTTGACTCCTTTGTACAATTGTGCTTCTAATGCTCGCTGGGGCTTTTTTTTTTGGTGGTTGAATGGCATATGTCATGTAATTTAGCATTCCAGGAGCATCCATAATGGGTTATTGTATGTAGCTGTGGTTCTAATGCTAGCTGGAACATTCCTTTTGAGGTTGGTATGATTTTCCTAACTTCTAATGAGAATCAATGCAATTTCATTTGACATTTTGCTAATCCCATTGGGAATGAACTATTTGTACCAACCACATTGTCTACATGAACAATGTTATTGACACCACGACAATTTGATACAAAATATAATGAAATAAAGAATTATAATAGAAGATAACTTAATTTAGGGATCTGCTAACACTTGGACATACATGAACACATGTTTCACAAGCAATACATTTATCAAATTCAAAGTGGATTCAACCACGAAAACCCTCTGATGTGATTGATTTTTCATAAGGATATTGGATAGTTATAGGTAAATGATTTGTGTGGGATAAGGTAATTATGAAACTTTGTTCAATGTCCTATTGGAATTGGGTCCAATAGGAGGAGCTGAGGCTTAGAGGCCTAGAGATAAAATATCATCTACTTGGTTGAGGATTAAGTAAATGAAGATGAGACCCAAAGCTTTGAAGCTAAGGGTTGGAGAGTTCTTTTTAACTGTGGAGTTGAGGAGAATGAACTGAAACCTTTAACTTTGAGGCTAAGGAGTTGAAGAATTTCCAACAACTTTGAGGTTGAGGGAAAATGGAGTTTTCCACAACCTTGAAGCTAAAGAATAAGGGAAATTCCCTTTAGCTTTGGAGCTAAAGAGAATGAAATCAAACGAGAAGCAATCAAATACACAACAATAGGAGGAGAACACAACTAATCTAGTATCAACTTGCCGATAACTATCTAGACTAAATCCCAGCATAATTCCTTGGCAGCACCGGTAAAGGATGTGGGAGACACTATGTGTTAATGGTGGTCCCGTACTCCACTGCAAACATTTATACTCTATAAATCTCCAAAAATATGTAATCCTGCCCTACAATTCACAAAAATTAAAAAAAAAAAAAAGAAATTCACTAAAACTCACTTTTTCTCTTTAAAAAGAGTGGGTATAAATAGGCTACCCTCTCTACTTAATCTCTAGATCCTCTTAATTACCAAATTACTCCTATGAAGGTATCAAAAGACAACAACATTATAATAATTGAGAAAAGTATTGAAATAGTCCCTTGAATTTTTATGAAAGATCAAAATTGTCCCCAAAGACACTTATATTAAATGACCATTTTACTTTTTAAAGAGAAATCAAAATAGTCCCATCATTGGACTATTTTGGTTCCTTTTTAAGAACTTGAGGGATCAAAATGATTCTTTAATATAGTTGGGGACAATTTTGGTTATTCATAAAAATTTAAGGGACCATTTTGGCTCTTTTCTCTATATTAATTAGTTAGTTAATGGATAGCAAGGCTATGAGCAAACTGCCACTTAGTTAAACATCCCACAACCCAACAAGGACATACAATGAATTGGACATGTCAATAAGAAAAATTCAAGTTGGGACTCAGTTTCAGTGAGTGTTTAAGAACACCCAACTCCATGATTGAGTTTGTCCATCACACTTTTCGGACTCTCTTATGGTGTGGTGGTTTCATCTACCAGATGGAAGTGTAGATCCACATGGTCCAATGTCCTTATTGAAGATCAAAATTTAATATCCAGCCTTCCTCGTATGTATGGCATGATTATTATTGTTTCACGCGTGACATCTATGCTGTGTTTATTTTCCTTTCAGTTCTTTGTTTGTGTTGCCTTCCTGCTTTGATACCTGGTTGAGTTTGATTCATTTTCTCATGGTTTATTTGTCAAATTTTCTCTTATGAAATATAGGACTTCAGTTTTTGTTGTTGTTATTGCCCATAGAGGTGGTGTATTAACCTTTTCGGTTTAAAATTCTACATGGTCTTCTTTAGCAGTAATGATTTACTACATTAATTTATCCTTATGTCCAGATATGCTTCTCCTATAGAGGTTGATATCGAATACACCGTACCAAATCAAACGAATAAGGAATATAAGGTAATGAATAGTTTTTTTTTGGTTCAGATCCTTCTGAAATATTGTTCCTGATACCATTGTCTTGAATCTATTATGTTCAGAAAGGCCTTGTTATTGGACGAATGCCGATTATGCTCCGTAGCAGCAGTTGTGTGTTAAGTGGAAAGGATGAAGCTGAACTGGCCAAACTTGGTTTGATTTCTCAATAATTTATTCTTTTGTTACCATATTTAGTTATTTCCCTCTGTTCTACTCATTGGATGATTAATTTTCAAGGTGAATGTCCTCTTGATCCGGGTGGTTACTTCATTATTAAAGGAAATGAGAAGGTAATCAAAATTGGTAATTTGACTAGCAGTTTATTCATCATTTTATGATAAGTCAAGGGATTCTAATTGGTTGAAGAAGAATGCTATTAGGGTCTTTAGTGCCACCTTTTATAGTCCAGATGTTTGTAGGGTCTTCTTTATTTGATTGTCGTGATCAGTACCATCCGTATACTGAATCCAGAGAAATCAATGTTCTTTCATTTTTCTTAGCGTGTTATATCGTCATATGTCTGGATCTTTTGAAGTGAAATGCATAAATATATTATTTTCCCTTTTTTTCAGGATAATTCTAGTACTGAAGTTTGCCTTCCTAATCTATTTATTTTTCCACCATATTAATTTTAGGAGTTATTATTTTTATTTTTTGTACTGAACAACGACTTTTTCTTAGATATCTTGCAATTCATGCATTATCATATTATCTGCATTACAAATTAAAATTAGAATGCAGAACATGCGTCCCATAATATTTATGAAATTCTTGTATTTACTTTTCTCTATGGCTCTTATTTACTTTTAATGCTTTATATTTTTACATTTTTTTTGTCATTTTTACTTTCTACGAGGAAAAGCAACACGTAATTTGTCTCTGAACTTGCTTTTCAAATATTTATTTTTCTATGATTAGTTTCTAAACAAAAAAAATAATTTTCCTTTCAGCCATTCAAGGTTCAGAATGAAATATTGTATTATTGTAAATCTATGTTGGAATACAAAGTTTTACTTTGGTTTATGTTTGCATTTTCATGATTTCTTTAATTCCTTAGTCTAATGAAAATTAAGTTTTTCTCAACACAGTGGTAACTTTCCAATTTACTAAATACAAAGGTAGATACAAGTCATAAAACTTTTCAATGTTTTTGAATGTATTCTTATTGTTCAACTTCACCATATATGTTTCATGTTTTGACATTTGTTTTCAATCTAAACACCCGTTTGATTAATTGAAATTTTAGGTGATTTTGATACAAGAGCAACTTTCCAAGAATCGAATAATAATTGACACTGATAGCAAGGGCAGGTTTGCTATTTATACTATATATTTATATAATATTAGCCTTTTTTTGTTATTGTACATTTTTGTGCTTTTATGGTTACCATAGACCATTCGAAAGTGCATGTTTGATTTTTCTGTTTAATAAGCATTATTGGTTGCACTAGCATTTCGTAATATCCTCTTGAATGGTGACGAAGAACAGGATGATATTCAACTGTTGCCTGTGTTCACCGGCCCCTTAGTTTTGAGGAATCTGTGCTTGCTGTTAGCTAGTTGAGATCAAAGATAGTTTACTTGGTTACCTGTAATAACTTTCTGTAATTCATTCTAGAAGCCTTCTTTTTTTGTTCTCTTTTGTGAATTATATCTTAAGATATCCGGTTGATAGATGTGATAGGACACACTTATAGATCTCCAGTATTTCCTATCAATCTTCAAGAACAACGAGTGTTCTCCGCGAAAATTCACGCAAAATCTAAAAAACAGTAGATAATTTGTATTATTTGATGAAAGAGATCGGAAAATAGCAAGATACAATTGATCCTCTGTTCGAGAGGAGGATCGATCTCTCCCAAATCTCTAGACGCGATTAGAGCCCGAAGAAAACCTAAATCTACGCGATCTCAAATTTCGGCCAAATTCAAGATGCCATAACCCTAGGAAAACAAAGTATTTAATGCATACAAATCAAAAGGAAATCCCTAAACAATCCCTACATTCAAATTTCCCTCCCAAATCCCTAAAAAATTCTTCCTAAATTGCTTTATTTGATCCAAGCGGGGCGTGCGGCTGAATCAGGAGGCGAAGGCTTCCGCCTCGTCGCGCCTGAGCTGGTCCCACATGGACCGGCTGGACTGGTCCATTTGACCGGTCTAACAATACTCCCCTCCCTAAGATCCACATTGTCCTCAAGATGGAGATATGCTCGTGTTTCGGTGGACGTGGCCATCCTTGAGGTGGCTAAAATTTTTTACCAATTTGCTGAATTAAGAGTTGCCCTGAAAGAGAAACCCCCCCCTCCCCCTCCTCCTTCTCCTACTTCCTGATCACATGTAGCTTGTGTAGTCCCACCAGAAAATCTTCACCCACCTCTTGTAGGCCCCTAACCATGGTCTTAAGTGATATCATGGCTTTGGATAGCCTTGCATTTCCCCTTATAACCACATTTCTCCCATCCACCATTAATTCCATCATAAGTGCTCTCCAATTGTCCTTGGTTTCCCCTAAGGTTTGCAATCACTTCATTCCCATGATGATATCAATACATCTTAATTCTAGTGGAAGGAAGTCCTCCCTTACCTGAATCCCCTTGCCTTTCCCACCTTCCTTGTACCCATCATCACTCCATAACAATTAGTGCCCACCAAATTCACTCCCAATTGGTCGACGACCTGAGTGGAAATGAAATTGTGGGTAGTTTCACTATCAATTAGCACCATCACCTCCTTGCCCTCTATCTCTCCCTTCACCTTCATGGTATAATTCGTAGTGAATCCTACCACTGAGTTCAGGAAAACCTCAGCCAGATCCAAGTGTAACTTCTCATCCATCTCCAAACTGCTAAATCCTAAAAAATGAGATTATTTTCATTAGAGATTCAATGGATGGATGGATGAATGAAGCCCATGGGATATGAGATTATTTTCGTTAGAGATTCAAACTTAACACAATCTAATTATGATGACAATTTATTTAAGTATAACATTCGAAATGCTCCAAACCCCCTCCTTGTCCTCAGCCATATCCTAACTGATAAATCCTAAAAAATAATAGTTCTGGATTAATCCAGACCGTCATATCAAGAGAGCCAAGATTGGTGCTTCAATAATCCTGTGTTCTAATTGTAAAACAAGCCAATTGTCCTTTCAAATATGCATCATCAGATCACCTCAAGATCCATGATAGCACTTCAATCAAGCTTACGGCCCTAAGGATATTGGCACTGATCTATATGTTCCAATTTGAATCTAATTCACTAACTCGAATTATCTTCAACATTAGCATCAATGCCCTGAACATCAATTCACTTCCGAAATCAAATTTTCTATATTGGAGCTTCATATTTTTCCTTTATTACTAATGTTACTGTCGCTGAGACAATAATTTATAACAACAATGGCTAATTGATTTTTGACCTGGCTAACAGCAACCTCCCCTTGTCTAGGAGTATATATATATATATTCTTTTATAAGCTACCTTTTATTCTGCTTGAGGGTGCTTCGAGTTTTATCTTCTTTTTTGCTGATGTTCTAATATCTGTTTATTTGAATCATATTTATGGAATATAACAACCATGCCATCGTTGGACTTCTTCAAAGACAACTTGTCATTGCCATTTTTGCAAACAAGTTTCTCTCTGTCTGACTTATTAGTGATCCTTGTGGTACGTCTATTATGGTAAGATTATTGAGCGATAATATATATTCTAGTTTGTGCTAACTGTTAGTTAGACAATCTAAATAGAATATCTCACTATGCATTAGATTTCTTTTTTTTTTGGTTGATTCATGATTATTTATGATTTAAAATATAAGCAACTCGCCTGTTTCTGTTGATCTCCTTGTACTTGAATTCCATCAATGTCTTTAAGCAATCATTATTCATTCTTGCATCTGTTTTTATTGGTCCAGTTTCTCCCTTGTTACGTTTCTTGAAATTAAAATTGATGGATAATTTATATTTTCTACTGACAGTGAGTCATTAATCTTGAATAATTTGCCTTGAATATAAGTGTGATGACAACACTCTCTTTTACCAATATCAGGGTCAATGCATCTGTTACAAGCAGTACTCACGAGACAAAAACCAAGACTGTTTTTTTCATTGATAAGGATAAAATATATCTGCAACTTAATCAGTTCTCCAAGCCGGTATTCATCTAACCTCATTTTTACTGGAGCTCATTTTAAGGAATTTAGTTATCGTTTATGTTATTTGTTCTTGCTTTCCAAAGATTTCGATTATGATTATCATGAAAGCAATGGGAATGGAGAATGATCAAGAAGTTATGCAAATGCTTGGCAGAGATCCAAAGTATGCCTTTCTTCTTTTTCCATCAATGCAGGTTTGCTTTGACTTGCAATTATTATAGACTTTTCTCATTTTGAGTTTTTTTGACAGTTCTTTTGTTGATTGTGTGAAATATTGTATATATGATAGTTATCGCTTCATATTTTTTTAAAGTATATCCTCTGGCATCATTAGTGTTTCGTTTTCTCATCAGTTTACAGGCATCTTGATCTTACTATTATTACAACAACAATAAATCTTTATCCCACTGTGGGGTCGATTACATGAATATTTTTTCTCGATTGTATCCTATTAAGAATCAATTCTCATTTAAATATAATAAAAATAATTTTTTAATACTTTATAACCAAGCCTTTTTAGACCACCTCTACCTCTCCTAACATAGGTTGGATCTAATACATCTACTCTCCTGATAAAATCATTGGAAGGCCTACATTTTAAGTGACCAAACCATCTAAGACGACTCTGATTAATCTTATCTTTCATTGGAGCTACTCCAACCTTTTCATATGTATATTCATTTCATATTCTATCCTAAGTGTAAAACCACTCATCCACATGAGCATCCTCATCTCTGCAACATTTGAATTAATTTTATGCTCCTCTTTTAATGGCCAACATTTTGCGCCATAAAACATTGCAATTCTCACTGCCATCTTATAAAATTTTTTCTTAAGTTTGAGGGGTACCTTTCTATCACATAACAAGCACGATATATTTCTCTACTTCAGCCATCCAACTTGAATTCTATTAATAGCATCCTCATCTATTTCACCATAACTTTGAACAATAGACCCGGGATATCTAAAATGTGCACTCTTTTTAATGACTTGATCACTCAATGTCATAATCCCACCACTAGATCTATTATTACTATAATTAAACTATGTATATTTTATTTTAAATCCACACAAACAAAAATCTCTTGGCTCTAACGTTGACCTCCATAATTCAAGCTATTCATCTCCCTCTCTAGTATTATCACTAACAATAATATCATAAAAAAAAACATACATCAAGGCATATCCTCTTGCAAATGTCTAGTAAGAAAATCCGTGACTAAAGGAAAAAGATATGGGCTTAAAGCTAATACTTGATGTAATCCAACAACAACACCAAGCCTTTATCCCATTATGTGAGGTCGGCTACTTGAATCCTTTTTTCTTCATTTTGTCCTGCTAATAGTCAAATTCTCATTTAAATTTAAAAAAATGTCATTCGTAATATTTTCTAACCAAGTCTTTTTAGGTCTACCTCTACTTCTCTTAACATAAGCTAAATCTAATACATCCACTTTTCTAATCGTGTCATAAGAAGGTTGACATTTTATGTGACCAAATCATCTAAGGAGACTCTCTAATCTCATCTTCCATTGGAGTTACTCCAACCTTTTCACGTATATGCTCATTTTGTATCATGTCTCTAAGAGTAAAGACACTCATCCACCTGAGCATCCTCATATGTGCAACACTTAACTTAATATTATGCTTCTCTTTTAATGGCCAACATTCTGCACCATAAAGCATTGCAAGGCTCACTACCATTTTATAGAAATTTTCCCTTAAGTTTGAGGGGAATTTTTCCATCACACAACATGCCTGATGCATTCCCCCATTTCAACCATCCAACTTGAATTCTACTAATAATATTCCCATTTATTTCACCATCACTCTGAACAATAGACCCAAGATATCTAAAACATGTATTCATATTATTGACTTGATCACACAAAGTAACAATCCCTCCATTAGATCTATTACTGCAATTACACTCTATGTATTTGATTTTAGATCCACTCAAACAAAAACCTTTAGACTCTAAGGTTTACCTCCATAATTCAACTTTACCTTCAACTCCCTCAATAGTCTTATCAACTAGAAGAATATCATAAACAAAAATCATATATCAGGCTACAACATCCTATAAATTTCTAGTAAGAACATCCATGACTAAAGCAAAAAGATATGGGCTTAAGGCTGATCCTTGATGTAATCCAACTGAAATAGGAAAATACTTGATCCAACCTCTTTGTGTTTGAACACAAGTAACAACTCCTGCATACATATCTTTAATGACTGGAGTATAAGTATTATTAACCCCTTTCTTTTCTAAAACTCTCCATAACACTTTTCTTGAAAGTTTTTCATAAGCTTTATCTAAATCAATAAATATCATATGTAGATCTTCCTTATTCTCCCTATACTTCTCCATCAAACCTCTCAATAAATATATTGTCCCACTCTAATTTTGACCTCTATAGTCAATCTAGAGTGTAATAGAGAAGGAGAATATGAATAGAGCTCTTTCTCACTCACATTTATTTTGAACTAATTATATCAGAAACATGGAGTAAGAAATAGCCTATTCAGAATATCTTAGCATATCAAGCTTTATACTTCATAACAAGAAGCATATGTAAAGTATCTCAATTAAAATGCACACGTCAAATAAAATACATAGCTTTACTAAATTTTTTAAAATTTGTTTTTATACCCAAAAGTCTCTGCATAGCTCCTACTGAGATCTCTTTATACACCCAAAAAGTGTTTGTACAACAAAAAGTTCAGTCGCTCTTTTTTTTCTAATGCCCTATTGGATTGTTCCTCTTTTCTACAGTACAATCATTGCTAATGAGTTAAAGTTAAATGAAATACACAAGCAATATATAAGAAATAAGAATAAACATATTAACAATTAGTTTAAATTACATGTAAATTCCATAATAGACATAAGAAATACATAACATCACTTTCTATTTTATTTACTATGTTTATAGTTCAAACTTTTATACAAATCGTATAATGACTGTAGCGTTTGCACCCTTCAAACTTTCTAATTCAAGGTTGAGTATGAATTTTCAACTTTTAGAATTGAAACTGCTTTCTTATTCAAGGTTGTGTCAGAATTTTCAACTTTTAGAAGTTCAAGAGTGTAGACTTACCTCGTCAGGTTTTTCACTTTTACTTGTGCGGGCATATTTCCCATACATGACTTAATTCACCTTTCAAATATCCTTCACTTTTCACAATCATACAATGTGCTATTGTAATCACTATGGAATGAACCAACAATTTATATATGAATAAACTTGGATAAACTGAAATAAATGCTATCATAAACATAACAAATATGAATTTGCAAAAATGTAAATTTTTTACTATTTCCATTGGGTATCTCACCTCATTTTCTAGAATAGTCTGGTAAACTGGTTCACCTAAAATACCCGATTCCTTTTTCTTTTGTATACCATCTCAACTACACTCTTCTTCATTCAATCCAACCCCACTCCTTTCCTCTCTTTCCTCTCTTTCCCTATTGAAATCAGCAAACATATTTCAACAATACATATTTAAGCAAATACAGATTTCTGCATACAAATTCAGCCACACAGATTTCTGCATATAATTTTAGCCATAACAGATTTCTGCATACACACCTATTTCATTACCTCAAACACCGATTTCTATACACATTGCAGCCTTTCAGATTTCAGCAAACATTCTTACTGGTTTCCCCTATTACAATCTCTGCACACGCGGAATTCAATAAATTCTATTCCAAAAAAAAAAAAAAGTTTAAGAATATACAATTTCCTTAGATTTTTGCAGTCCTCAACTTCCTAAATTTCCTTACCTAATAAATCTCCAACAGAAAGCTGCAGCACTCACACACCGCAGCCCTGCCTCCAGCTTCCCGCTCACCCACGGCTTCAGGCTTCAGAAAACGGGTGGGTAAGGGAATAAATGTTTAAGAGGCTTACCATGATATGATTTACATCCTGACATATCCACTAACTCCACTAATGCTTTTCAGAAAAATCCTAGCCGTATGAATCCACTATTACATTATAATATATGCACTAATTCCACTAAGCTACTGCACTACTTATTAGCCGTTGGATGGAATAAGGGAATCATCTGCCAACGCATTTATGCCTAAGTGGAATATCTAGAAATAGAAATCTGAACTGAATTTACTATTAATCTAACTAATACATAATACTTAATTTTAACTTAACTAGTAAAGAGTTATTAGTTTAATAGCTTTACAAATATTCAATTAGATTAATGATTTATATATATTTCTATATGTCAAAATGCTCGGAATTAAAAATTGAATTTAATGAAAATAAATTTACATTTAGGGGAAGTTTGTACTTACATTATTTTGAATATTTTGGGTATTATATATATAGCTTCCATAGTAGGTCTACCTGATATGAATCCAAATTGATTTTGAGAAACATTAGTAACATTTTTTTTTTGTGGGGAAACATTAGTAACATGTTGTAAACTATGCTCAATAACTCTCTCCCAAAGTTTTAAAGTATTACACATTAACTTCATTCCACTATAATTCACACACTCTTGTGCATAACCTTTATTTTAAAAAATAGGAATCAACACACTGCTCCTCTACTTATTTGATATTTTTAGTCTTCAAAATAATATTGAAAATTTTCATAAGCTAATAAATTCCTTGATGTGTTCCAACTGAAATAGGAAAATACCTAGTCAAACCATCTTGTGTTTGAACACTAGTAACAACTCATGTATACATATCATTAATGACTTGAATATAAATATTATTAACTCCTTTCTTTTTTAAAACACTCCATTGCTGCTCTCTTCGAGTTTTATCATATGCTTTTTTTAAATCAATAAATATCATATATAGATCCTCCTTGCTCTATTTGTACTTCTCTATCAAACCTCTCAACAAATGTACAACTTTCATAGTAGACCCACCTAGCATGAATCCAAACTAGTCTTGAGAAACATTAGTATCACCTCATAGTCTATGGTTAATTACTCTCTCTCACAATTTTAATGTATGACACATTAATATCATGTTGACGTTTATTTTCATATCGAGGCTAATTCACCCCGACTAGGCTCGATCGCGCTCGATCAACTCAATCAACCATCATCAAGCGTCATTTAACCCAAATCGGACTTGAATTTGATTAAATTAAATTAAATTAAACTCAAATTGATTGAGCTTCGTCGAACCAAATTCGACATAAATCGACGCCGATTCGAGCCTAATTTCACGAAATCAGCTCGATTGGATCCAATCAGACCCTAATCGACTCAAATCGGTTCGGGTCGAGTCCAATTCAGGCTCGATTTCTTCCCTAATATCATGTGTAGTATAAGGACTAGGTGGAGGTGTTGTAATGATATATTTTTACCAACGAGATGAAGTTGAGGTTTAGTCCTATTGCATTTTGCTAGGTAAACTTATGGAAAGTACGCAGTGGTGTTCTTGGTATTGAAGGTCTAGGCACATTGAATATCTCCTTCCTAAGAAATGGATTTAGAAACCTCTTTTGCCGAGCAAAAATTCATTTATAGCTGCTATTATTAGTGACAAAAATTTCAGTAGTTAGACTCCTTTGGAGTTTTTGATCAATCATACCTCTTAGATATCTAATTTGAAGGGTTAGCAAAGCTATTCATCCTTCTAACTTTTGAAAAGATAAATTGAATGACTTCTTTGTGCTTCTTATCTTTGTTAGAAATAACAATGATTCTGTTGCTTTGCAATATAATTCTTTCCTTGGTTAGCATATTCCCTATATGGAATTGCCTTATTCCATCAAAATATTTCAATATGAATAATGAAACAAAATATAAAATACACCAACAAGCCAACGGGGGCTTCACAAACCAATAGCCAGAAGGGGAGATGAAATGTCAATGATCTTGAAGAACGATAAAGGATTTCTTTTCCTTTTGTTTTCTTTGTTTATCTTTTACTTAAAGTTTTAATAAAACAAATCAATTATAGGCCATGGTGATCGTGTGCAACAAATGACATCTTAAAAAGACTATTTAATTGGGATTTTGTTTTGGTGGGTGTGGGTGGGATTACAACTTTATAAATCCAGAATTTTTTATTTTTGGATGGTTACAGCTAAGTGTAAGTTCTAATTTTGAATTGGATATTTGTTAGGTAGCTATTATAGTGGAGGGATTTCTATGTTGCACCGATACGGATACGGCGACACGGATACGATATGATACAGGACACGTCAATTCTTAAAAATACAGGATACGGGTACGACGCGGATACGACATTATAATATATAAATAATACATAAAAATTAAGAAAGTAATCAAAGAGTAATATTTGAAATGACAAAAAATAATTGAAAGCAACATAATTTGTAGCATTTTTATCTTATAATATCAAAATAAAAGTAAGCATTAAATATTTAAATGTCTAGTACAACAACAAAAACAAAAAAACATAAATTATTTAGCACATGAAGTTTCATTGTTTCAACTATTCAATAGAAGGAATGGTAGGATTAGTTTCTTCAGTGGGTTTTCTTTGAACTTCTATATCATCTTCAATAAATATCACAACTTCCAATTCAAGCTCATCAAGTGAAATATTAACAATTTCTAATATTCCCAAATCCTCAAGAGATTCAAATCCATCTCCAGCAACATTCCACAGAGGTTTATTATCTTCAATACTGGTCTTTGATGGACCATCATCAGACCCAATTCCTACGTCAGTAGAGCTCATGATTCTACGAAGGATCAACACAAATTAAACCACACGAATTTAAAAGATGAAATTTTTTAAGTAAAATTTTAGATATGTCGCAGATATGTCGGGGTCCAAGGGGGCGCTGCCATCGGAACAAATTTTTATTGTTAGAGTAATTTTAAAGTTTTTTCTAGCTTCTCGGTGCCGCTTGGTACCATTCAGTACCGAGCGGTACTGAGTATTGATACTGACATTGTACTGAGCGTTGCGGAGAGGTACTGACCAGTATCGAGTGGTACTGAGTTCCGGTACCGAGCGACACCGAGTTTTGGTACCGAGTTCGGTACCGAGTTTTGGTACCGAGTTCCGGTATCGAGCGGTACCGAGTTCCGGTATCGAGCGGTATCGAGTTCCGGTATCGAGCGGTACCGAGTTTCAATATCGAGCCTACAATGAAGAAAACAAACCTTCACTGTTCGCGTCGCCTTCATTGTTCGAGTCGTCAAGCCGCTCTGTCAACGAAGGATGATCCTGTCGGCTTTAATGCTTGCGTCATCGAGCCTCTTTGTCGACAAAGGATGATCCTGTCCGCTTCTATGCTCGCGTCATCGAGATGCTCCTTCGACTACAACGACGAAGATGAAAGCCTGTGCAGAAACAAAAAACTAGCTCGCAGAAATGTTTAAGCCGCATTAATGAATAGGGATATCGAGCGGGTAGCCGAAATGAATAGGGCAAATTGCAGCTCCATTTTTTTTTTTCGTTTTTTTAACAGGACACGCGTATCCGATATGTCTGTCAAATTTAAATAATATTTTAGTTGGACACGGCAAAGTCGTATCTGACATGTATCCGTGCCGTATCGGAGGCGTATCCATATCTGACGCATGTCCGATACAACATGTCTCGTAAATAGGAATATCGGTGCTACATAGAGGGATTTTAAAGAAAAATGTTTTAAATTTGAATATGATATGAATTTTAAATTTGAATTTCTAATTGATTATTGAGAAACTTAAAGAGGCGTTGAGGGAATCTACGTGAAGAGGTGAAGCAAAAAGCAATAATGGGTTGGTGCTGTAGGGAATTGCACAACAATTTCATTTTTTTTGTCTAATCCTTAGAGGGGAAAAGCACATGGGTAAAGAGAAACAGGAGAACCCAAACACTAAAAATTGCAAGGGCAAAATTGTAGGAAATTGTTTTATTTCGATGCAAAATAACTATAATTGATGAAAGTATGTTCAAAGTCAATTAGGATATTGCTCGAATACAATATTGATTTAGGATTTGCAAGAAAATTGTGAAATTCAGTAGGGTCTAAAATAAAATAAAAAGATGCCAAACGATAAATTTTTAAGTTGTTGATGTCGAATGCCCACAACATTGGTGTCATGCTCCATGCTGCTCAACAAAGCCTTTATCAACAAAGGGACACGACAGATGAAATCATACAGTTCATTTTACATTTCGTAAAAATTCATTAAAGACATTAGCCTTTATCAACAAAGCGGAATCAGTTCAAAATTTCATTGATAATTTATATTTAACAAGCAACTAACGAGCCCAAATGTTCATAAAAAATATCCTACATACTTCCAACAACACGTACCTTAAGACTGTTCATAACAAAATATAAAACAAAAATTAAACATATTTATCTACTAACCTTCAACATTATTTTTCTCCTTTCTTGAAAAAGCTTCCATAATAAAAGTTTAGTAAACTATGAGGCTCAAAAAGATATGCAACTTTAATACATGATTCAAGTATACAAAAGATGTAAGTAACATGCACGTATAATGATTGAAAGCTTAATTAAATGGCATTGTATCAGCCTATAATGGCCAATATAGAAGAAATGAGGACCATATATATTAACAGTCATTAGCATAGAAATAATTTAACTTCAGATGAACCTCTAAAATTTAATTCTGTGCAATCCCTGATATGATCATTATCTTTTTCTATTGAGAAATGGATTTAGCTTCTTTCACCCATCATAATCCTTGTGCTCATACAGTATGATAAATACCATCTCTACTTGTTTCTTTTGGTAAAATAGTTGATTTTTCTAGTCCTGATAACGCTATATCTACCATTTTAGAAAAATAATCTTCACCAGAACTGATTACTTTTGATTACCTTCCATGTAAATGTATTTGTGGCTCTTTTGTCAGGAATGCAGGTCTGAGAAGATAATTACTCAAAAGCAGGCCTTAGAATACCTTCAGGGAAAGGTGATTATGTTATGCTTTTCTCCATGCTTAGTTTGGCAGTTCATTTTGTGATTGATCTTGTCCTTCTTATGTGAACTTTAGTATACATGACTTCGTTACATGTATTTTTTGTTGATTTCGTTTTATTTTATTTTGGCATACCCCTCTTTCTCTTACCCTCTTTCTTTCTCATCCCTTGACTGAGGACTGCCCATTTATTTTGTGTCATCCTGTATATTGGGTTGCCATTCCTTGGACAACCTCCTCACTTGGGTATAAACCCAATGTATTGGGGGCTGTGTTGTGTCACTTTTGAATCTCGTGAATGCTATAGTTGCTACCATGCTGGTTATAGAACCTTAGTTGCATACTTTCCGTCAATCTAATTCTAGGATTTAGGAGAGTTGGTGTCACACGCGTCGACCTCACTTCTAACGGTCAATGCAGGGCGTAACAATGAAAAAATCATAAATCATATTAATATGCAAAATATTCATAAAATACATTAGATCATTTAATCATAAGTGAAAGTTATCCAAAGTTTCAATTTTCAAAATTTTCATCTACAGAAAAACTAACAAAAAACTAAAACATATGGCTATTAACAGACTATTGATCTCAATTTGAATCTTCCTTACACTGATAAAAGTAAACTTAAAATAAAAATTGAAGTTGGTACTATTCCGACTCAATCTTATCTTTCCCTTTTCCTATAAAAACAATCAGAATAATAGTCTGGTGAGCTAAAACGCCCATAAAGACATGCAATTCTAATACATTAATCTACAGTAATCAAAAGCAAGAAAGAATTAATGAACATGACCATCAATAGGTAAATTAACTTGTGCATGTAAGAAACGTATGTAAGCAACCCATGTCTATAATAACTATAATAGGGAATATATAGGCTATATGTCACCTGTAGCGCATAATGTAAGAATTATACTCACCTGAATGATACATTCAATTACATGTCATATAATATTAATAACATCACTTCATCGTACCGAGATCGCACTGACTCTATTGGGTCGCATTTTCCATCGAGGTAGCACTACCCCCACTCTTTTATCACTTAACATAACAATTTTTCATACTTATTTAATCATTACTTTTTCCTTTCTTCTTACAACAACCTACCATGTTTTACTTGCATATATAAATATGTACATGCATGTATACCAGTATGACAATAATGTGTATCAGTACAAAAGCAGGCATAACTAATAAATCGCGTCACAATTCTCAATATAACATAATTGCGCATGACATCAAAACATAATAGAATTTGTATGCATCACACATCAAGCTTATGCTAATTACAAATTTGTGCATGATAGAGATCACACATAACTAATTAAAATGCATGTACACAAGCTATTCACAATTTGAATCGCCAACTGTATCAATAAAATTGTATATCTTACCTTGTCAATACGTGCACTCATCAAGTCAGACACCTTGCATTCACTTGCGTAGAGGGCACCTAAAGCAATCCAAAATTTTAATTGCTAATTCACACAATCCCCAATCTGACTCCTACAACTAATTAATGTCCCAAATAATGTACCTTCCAATTTTCACGTTGCATACACAACTAGAAGTACAATTTCCCTCGCACTACGAATGTCCCAATCAATAACTGAACACTATTAAATTAGAAATGTTAAATATACAAACTATACAAAATTTTCCCATAGGCACAATAAAATTCTTGCCTCTTTTCTATTTTTCTCCCCTTCCTTCCCAAATTTTTCTTTTTTCTTCCCTTATTCCTTTACTCTTCTCCCAAAATTCTAAGATTTTTTCTTACTACTTTCTCCCCCTCTCTTCCCCAAACCTTACTTCTCCCTACTTCAACCAGTTAGCACCACGCCCTAAACCTAATCAAACTTCAGCACATACATGTCAATAGTGCAAAATGGCGTGCCATGGGGCACAATGCGGCGAGACACACATATGACACTATTTGATTGGTGCGGTGTGGCACATCAAAATAGTGTGCGCTATTTGCGCCATGCATGACCAAATAGTGTAAGACATAAATGGTGTGCGCTATTTTATTAATATGTTATAAGTTTCAAATTATAAGTTATAATTAAATTTTTTTAATATTTATATATTAATATCACAATTAATTATTAATTTATTAAATATCAAATTAATTAAATATCAAAAACATTTATAGGATATTTATGCTTAAATTTTGCTCTAATCAACCTATTATTTTCTATTATATATATATATAATTTTACATTGTACGTCGTGTGCTATGCGCTATGGCTCCACCGAAAATTTTGTGCTATGGTGCGTCATTTGCCATTGACAAGTATGCTCCGGGACACTCACTCCTACTCAAGCTCTGCCTTTGGTTGGTCCAACGCTTGATCCATCACTCACGATAGCTCCCAGTGAAGGAATAAGGCATTCAGTTGACATGGAATGAATTGGAAATAAAAAACCTTAGACATTTGAAATGCCTTAACTACCCCTTCTCAAAGGGCCTATTCCATCAATACCTCAGCTACAGTAAAATTAATGCTAAAACAGTATTTTTATTTTTTAACTTAGGAAAAAATGTAAATGGGATTTAATTCCCTAACTTCAAAATTTTCGCAATTTTATATATAGTTCTATATGTTGAATTGTTTAATTTGACGTATAGAACACTATTGCATTAAATTATCAGAATTTTGTGAAAGTTGGGATTTCAGGATATTTTTAAATTGATCTAAATGTGTGCCATATCTCTGATCAAATTTGGATTTTACAGTTGTTGCCAAGTTGTACAGTTGTTGCCAAGTTGTCCCGCATGAAGTGGCTAATTTTCCCGCATTAAGTTGATTGTTTGTGGAAAAAAAAAAAGATTTACCAGTCGATAAGATAAAGAATGGGATCGTACCTCATATTATTTTGGAAGTTTCATCCCTTTTTTAGGCCAAATGTCTTGGCTTATCAATTTCTTTTAACGATAACCCAGTACATTGCTAGTTTTGTGCTAATTTTCTTTGGATTGTAATCATGTTTGAATATGGTGGACACTATAGTTACTAGTGCATTGGCTATAAAGCCTTGATTGTGCACTTTCTATCCTTTTGGGAGAGTTGGGAGTGCTAATTGAACGGACTATTTGTTGGCTGAACTTTGATTTAGAGTCACACTTGATTTTGTGGGCATTGCAATTGTTGTTATGGTGGCTATAAAGTCTTGGTTGCTTGTTTTCAATTAGTCCATACTTTGAGAGAGTTGGTATCCATAGGTGGTCCTACATTAATTGTTCTGGAGAACTTGTAGCAAAGTCATGCTTGATTGAGGTTGAATTGGGAGAATGAGAAAGAATTGTCTGAATGATTTGGGAGTTTCATCATATTTTTTGGGCATTTGTTCTAGACTTCTAGTTCACCTAATCTTGTGATTAAAATTCAATATGTTGTTGGGGATTCTTTGTTAATCATCCTTTGAGAAGGGGCTATTTTTAAATAATGTGGGCACTATAGTTGGTGTGTGTTGTCCCAATTTTAGTGTCGACCCGACTCGGATCGAGTCGAATCGGGCCCAATTTGACCCGATTGAGCTCGATCAACTTGATTGAGCCTTGTCGAACCCAAATCGACTTATATCGATTTTGATTCAAGTTTAATTTCATCAAAGTTGTTCGATCGAATCAAAATTGACTCCAATTAAACTAAATTAAAACCAAATAATCTCAAATCAATTCAAATCAAGCTAGATTTGGACTCAAATTCAAGCCCAATTGGTTTAATTTGAACTCAATTAGCTTTCCAAATCCAGAAATTGAATTCAATGGCTATGATTGCCTTGAATTATGCTCATTTTGTGCATTGCCTTTTGTACCGTAGCAGGCAATCAAGCGCGTATCTACCTCGTAGATATAGGAGAGCACGAGGGAGGCATTATTCGACCTTCTCTGTTTCATTTCTTGCGTGCATCTGAGACGAAACGAGAGAGGGAGCGTGAGTAGTTCGTCTCTTGTGTGCATCGAGAAGAACGAACGAGAGAGGGGAGCATGAGAGAGGGCTTTTCTTCTTCCTTGTGCTTGCCTGAGCCAAATCGAATAGGAGACATCCTCTTTCGGGCGTGTGTCCAATCCACCGAACAGAGCCGAGAGACGAGGGAGAGAGGGTTCTTGCGATCTCTAAGTGCGGCTCTTCCAGACTGAGAGGGAGACGGAGTGGGGGACCTTCGTGCAGGCTAGGGTTGGGACGAGCAAGAGGAGTGCTGGACCTGCAGTCCTCCTTTTTGCGATCAGACTAGAGGGAGTGAAGGCGTTGCGTGCGCCTGTATTGGTCCAATTGAATAGGGTCTTCTCTTTCATGTACTAGGGCCGAACCAAGTAAGGGAATTCCACTGCTAAGTGCAGTTCATTCAGCCAGGTGGAGTCAAGTGGCCTCGGTAGGGGGAGATTTGCATGCAGAGTGGCCGAGCTGAGTTGAACTGGGAGGGAGCTATCCTGTTTGTGACCTTGGTCAATCCCGATAATTGCTAGATCGAGCTTTGGACCTTATATGACTAACAAAGCCTAAGGTTGCTATATTTACCCATTTCTACATTCAACAGGAGTCTAGGAGCTTCTTCCTCTTATTCCCTCAACTCTGGTGAGCCTGTGACAGTGGTGGCGACGTCCGGAGCATCTTGGACGGTGAGCTCATTTCTCATCCTTTCAAGGTGAGAACACGTCGTCTAGCCTCGGACACTTGCTCTGATGAGATATATCTTTCAAACTTAGAAAACCTAGGTCTCCAACCCTTTATGGTTGTGTGGTTAATGCTCCCAAGCCATTAGGTCCCTAGAAACCTTGCTTTTTATTTTGCAAAACTCAAGAAAAATCCTATGTTAGCTGTCCTCTCCGCAAAATAGTGAAAATCCAGCAATTTTTATTTGTTTTCTCTCATGTGAGAGCCCGAGGAGGACGCTGATGTGGGTAGGGTTATTGGATCGACGTTCAACAATCTTCAAATACATGAAATAACATTCATATTGCATTCCAAATATTCCCCTAC